AAAGCAAGCTCAAACAAGAGAACGAGACATAGGCTCGACCCTCATTTGGTTTGGGTTATTGGTAGATTTTAGCTTGACCAAGACCAAGGCTAGAGGGCTTGGTCTCTCATGAGTGATTCACCCTCCTTGGTCGAACAAATCTTGACCTAGGCCAAACACCTTGTGTCAACTAGGCCACCAAGCGCTTATCTCATAGGGTCAATTGATTCCTTTGGGCTCTCTTCTCCAAATCAAGATATGATTAATGAATGACGGTCTAAATAAACACCACGTATATCACCTAAATATGTCTATAAATAGAAGGGTGGGTACGGTAAAATGCCGATTCTAGAACATTCACATCCACCCCACGAATATTCGAATTAACTTGGTGCATCGACATTGTTACTCTGGCAAATTGTCTGGTGAACTAAACAGTGATTAACAACCCACGAAAAATTGCAGTCACGCTCTTCCTACTTTGAATGGATTGTTGGTTGAATCTCCATTTTTTAATTTTCTTACCATACATGTTCTCAAACTTGAATATTTTCCAGTCTATAGAAAGTGAATCTACAGTACGTCTTTTTAATCGATCTCTGTGTGCAGAATCATTTAGAAGGAACTGTTTTCTATGAAAATAAAAGTTTGTGGGATTGAATGCTAAAAAAAAAATTGAATGAGAATTTAAGCCTGGTTCTACATTAAAATTTGATTAAATTCTCAAATCAAAGTCAACGATTGATTTTAAGCACAACTTTTCAATTCCATATTTCATCAACTTTTATCCAAAAAAATAAAAAAGTCTGATTTTAATCTATACCAAACATGGACTAAGTATATTCTCTAAGTTGTTTGAATTAATTAGCTATAAGCAAAACAGTCCAGTGTATAATTTTAGCAGAAAATATTGTATGACTGATAAGATTTTAACAACTAGAACTCCGTTTGTCTTTCATTAAAGAAAAAATTGGCAGATGCAATCAAGAAAGAAAATATCAGCTATATGCTCATGTAAAACAATTCAAATTCAAAAGAATACATATTGTTTGTATATATGCATATAATAGACAGAAGAATATCGATTATAAATTTTATATATAATCAGTACCTAACTTGAGTAAATACTCTTTTGGTACACTTTTACATCAATGGACAAATTGAGTTTCAGATCACCAGTGCTAATTATATGATCTTCGGAGAGTTTCTTGATCTTCTCTAGGTAGATTTCTGGGACGAGATACTCGTATTATGTCTACTTCGAATAGCTCAGGAGGGATAGACAAGGAAGGAGAACATGAGTTGGGCGAGAACGAAGAAAGAAAATGGTCAAATCTTACACTGGAAAACTCCGGCACAAAATTTGAAACACAACAAAAATTGATGGTAGTAAACAGTAGGAGGGGTCTTACAAGGTCAAGAAAAGGTCTTACAAGGTCAAGAAGACAAAACGTCGAAGAAAAACAAAAGGCAACAAGTAAAAAAATGAAAATAAAAATAAAAATGAAGGGTCGGAGTAATAAAAAAGCTCAGGTAGGATAGCACCAAACTAAGATGAACATGCAGCCAACTGAAGGCCATTTTTCACCGTTGGATCAATCAAGATATCGTCGTCTTTCTGATCAAGGTTCCCTGTTTTTCGAAGCTTTGAGGCACCCATGAATATGGATGGTTTCACCATACCTAAAGCCTGCAACAAGATGTTTTCTTGAATAAGTCAAATATGGATTAGTTTTTTAAGCTGCTTCTTTTGACAGTATGTCTCGACTTACATGTTATCAAAAGAAGCAGCTAAAAAGTAATTTTTAAGCACGATTGACCGAACTTCTTTTTCATACCTTATATTTGGAGAAATTTTAATGCTGCTAGCAGGGGGAAAAAAGTTGCAGAGAGGGAGAGAGTGAAGACTATGATTTATGAAAGAAAGGAATGAAGAAAGAGAGAACAAACGTGGGCTTTTTATGGACAGCTACTGGGCTATCTTAATGGGCCGACAGAACCAGGTCGAGGCCCAGAACCACTGCAAAAATTATCCCCTCGTGACGTCAGCACTTGGACCACCACATCATTGCCCGCCGAGCCTGACCGTTCTGCCCTTTCAACACTTATTTGGAGCGTGGGGAAAAACAAATATTGGTTTGCAAATTTGTTGTAAAATATTTATTTGAATAAATTAAATTGAGAATAATTTTTTAAGCACATTAAAGAACATTTTATCAGAATGAAATTATTTTAGAGCAAGATTTATCATGTTGAATATTTTACTAACTTTAATATAGATTAATTATAACGATTCTCCTCGTGGATATATTAATAAACTTGTGTAACTTTCAAAAGTTTCTAGTAAAATTGTTTGATGCCTCGATTACATCATTAATTAAGTTAAGAATTCCGAATAATCTAAGTTAAATCTCGACATAGTTTTGTGTTCTTCGATATTAACCTTTTGCACACGTGCTTGATTCACAACTATCACTAGTTGATAATGTTATTGTAATAATTAGGTGTGATTTAAATGTTTTATTAGATAATAAGAGATAATTAATGCAACAAGGGAATAAATAATTCAAGAACAACCACAATTTGAACAACAATTTCTTTGGATTCTAATAATTTACAGGGTAGGTGGGCAATCTTACGAGTTCCTAAGCAGGATTATTTTTAGTATTTCGATTCTAATGACTCGATTAAATAATTATTGTAGATATTTATGTTGCTAAAGAAAATAACAACAATTCTTGCTATAATGATTAGTCAAAGAAAGGCCTAAAATTTCTTACAAAGCATTTGGTCCCATGATTATGTTTAAGAATTTAATTATTTGGTGGGAAAAAAATTAAGATGTTGTACAAGTGTCATCTATTTGAATAAAAAAATCTAAAAACAAAAGTTTATTTCTACATATATAGCAATAATAAAAAAGAAAATTACTCTCTATAAAAATGAAATCAATTATTTTGCAATTTGAAAAAAATAATAATAATTATATGTTAATTTTTACCTTATTGCTAGTGTCTTCATAACCAAACCTTCGTTGTTGGTTCCACTAAAAAACTGAGAACAACTTCTATTACAGGCTAAATATTAGAACTATTAAAATCACTTAAGAAGTTACGGGTTCAACCACAATGTACGCAACGAAACTTAGTTGGCTCACGTCAAAATTTGATTTTAATGTATTCTATATTTATATATTTTTATTTATTTATTTAATTATTTATTTCGAGACGATGCTTAAGCCTAACTTTAAAGTATAGCTTAGTATAAGACTCCTCTTTTATTACTAAAAATATTAAGGAACCAAAAAAAAATGGAAATTAAAAATAACTGAAAAGCCAAAACACTAGAATTTGGGAGGCTAAATGATTCCCATGAATTCTAACGAGAATAATTAATGGAGGGAACTTGGGAAAAGAAACATAGACAAGAATATCTATAACATCTAGGTCTAGGCAACCGTAATTTCCTCAAGGATTGAACTTATTTTAATTATTTTTCTTGTTTTGTATAATTAATATATTTAGTCATGAATACAAAATTTTTGGGAGTTAGGGTATCTGAAATGGAGCCCCGTGGACATGAAGACTATATAATTAATTAGAGTCGTTTTACTTCATAGTCTTCTATGACGTAATCAATCTAAAATTCGACCGAGAAACAATTCCTCCGTCCTTCTTTACCTCGGAAATGTATGATTACTTTACATTTTTTAACCGATATCTAGTTTTCTTTTAACCTAGCCTTATCTATCCCTTGAGACCAACCAGGACTTTTACAAGAATATTCACCTACTGTCCGTCAAATATGCATTTTACTCTGATTTCAGGCGCCCTTAACTCAGCTATCGTCGATGACTAATTAATTGTAATTAGTTTATATCTAAACTACAAAAATAAAATAAAATAAATTTCTAGTTATGTTTTTGTCTGAAATTAAATTTAAATTAATGTGCTTTTTGACAGACCATACCTCATCACATTTATTTCCCATGCCCATTTTACTTATTATATGCATCTCATTTACTCCATTGCTTATGCCATCCAGTCCTTTTGTCCCCATGCAGTACTCCATTTTGTTTTCTTACTACATTAAATGTCTGAGAATTAAATGCCATCTGTGTATTTGAAATGATTCGAGGTACAAAATCAAATGAAATTGAAAAGGTACAAGATTTTAAACTGTAATGGTTGCACGTTTGGCACGTCGAAAAATATCAGACGTGATTTATGATAAAAAGAAGTTAAAATTTTATTCATTATCTTTACAATATTGTTCCATGCTACGGCCACATGCCTTTTCATTAGGTTAAATAAAATTTCATGCAATATTTATTGTAATGAGATCAGGGGCGGACCCACCTATGGCTGAGTGCAGGCAACTCTCAGTGCAGGCAGAGAGTTGCATGCACTGAGCATTGGGCTTGGGGTATGAAGGCCCATTACGGGGTAAGTGATTTGGGAAGTTGAGCAAGAGAGCAATTTGGGGATTTTTTTGCAGTGTTTTTTGCCCTTTTTTTACTTCTCGTTTATACTTGAATATTGTAGTATATCTGATAAAAAAAATGTTGATAGGTAATATTTAATTTTTTTCTTTTTTAAATGAAGTATTTCATGTAATTTCCTTAAAAACTTAAATGCATATTGCATACTATAATTTAAGGGACAAATTTAAAGTTCATCTCAGGTTCTGAAAACTCAAGATTCTACCTAAATTGAATTTCGCCCGCGCTAAACAATATTCCTGGGTCTCCCCTAAACGAGATTAATCAATTTTCTCATGTAGCATTTTTTGAAAAAAAGTTCAAAAATCCATCCCAAGCACTACTTATTTAGGGAAAACTACCCTATAGTCTCGTCCTCATGTTCAATGATGCTTTTGTATTATTCTCTCATCCTTAAAAATAAATAAATAAATTCGAACGCAAAATATCTACTTGTAATACAACTTATGTAGGGAGATGCAATTTTTAATTCACACAAACTATAAATCAATGTAAACACTAGGAAGATTTTGATGCTTGCGAATTCTTCCACAGAAGTGAATAAAAAATGTAAAGAACGATAAACATAGAAAGGTGAAAATCAAGTAGTTTTTAATAGAAAGAAAAAAAAGTAATATATGGTAAACTTAATTTGCTTTTAAGCTCAGCCAATCATGCAGTTTTGAATGAGTCCATGTGGGTAAGAAAAGAAAGAGAAGTAGGCAAGATTCCTGCAGGGAAAGGGCCAAATGTTGGAGAAACGTTTGGTGGTCCTCTCATATTTGAAGTTAACATGTTAAATCGATATCATTTTTGCATATTCCCATGACTAATTAACAAATCGAAACTTGTGCAACACAACACAAATGAATTATATACCCATCACTTAGGTTGGTAAAATAGCATTTCTCCGTCTTCTAATCAAGACATCTCTCAAGAATAACTATTTAACATTCTGATTTTATCCAATGGCGATAGAAGGAAGTGAACATAGATTGAAGGAGTAACCCCTTGTCCAGGAAAGCTATTGCGAGGTTCGTGCTACATCTGAAAAGTCAAAGAAAATCATATTTCACAATTCTTTTCATTGTGGGCAAATAGAATAGATGTAGTCCATCGAGCTTAATCTATATCTATTGATGAAATCGTAGACGATCAAGTGAATTAAATAAGGGGACAAGTAGTGTAAGATGAAAAGGTTTCAGATCACATGGGAGAGTCACATGAAAATATACTGTATGGTTGTACATGGGACATGCATACTTAAATGACAATGGCAGGCATCAATTTTGGATCCTGGAATTAATTCGAAAATGATGTATCAGTGTGTTTGACTCTCACTCAATGAATGGTTGCTTTCAGTTTCAGAATTCTCTGAATAAGTAATCATTGTATCATATTCTCTCATTCACTGAAATATGGACCATAGGACTAATTCAAACCCTATCACACTGCCATGTCGCTTCCTTTGTATTTATGTCTATGCTTTGAAAATCAACCCGAATTATTAAAAAATAGTAGTTAAAGAGTTGGAACGATAAAATAAAAAGTGGAAAGTACAATAATAACAAAAAAAAAATTATTGAGTACGTTCGTTTCTTGGTACGAACTTGACAATTTATGCATGATGCAGTCAATTATTTGACTGCTTAAAACGACTTCTTTCTTTTATTGTTTTGTGGTTGAACTGGTTTTCCACTTTAATTTTCAAGACATTGATTTATATATCTATTTTATTAGTTTCTATAATAATCTAAAAAATTTCAATCATACTTAGCAAGGACTTGGTAAAATCTATGCAAAGTGGTACTAAAAGTGAGTTTTTAAAAGTTGCTATAGTTGATTTTCTCTCTTATAGTGCTATTTTGGTGAAATTTCTAACTGAAATTGGATGAATTTGAGCCAAGTCTAACTTTAGTAGACACCCACTTGTCCAAGCACGACAGACCAATTTGGGCCAACCCCACACCATCAGAACCATAAAATTACTGGTTGGGAAAATTACTCTTTTTGACTATATATTTTGTATATCTATTATCACTCCGACAATCATCCACAACAACGGTGTTGTGAGAGTCGTTGACAGTGACTTGCAACTCGTTGCAAGGAGCACCACCAACAAAAGAAGGCATTCTAAGGTGAATTTCTAGCTATTGGAGGATCTAGATTTGGGGTCGGACCCATTTGACGCGTCAGTAGGAAGTGTGGAAGAGATGGGATCGAAGGACAATCTGATCAAATCTTGTATACTTTGAAATTGTTAGTAGTGGTTCTGTTATGGTGTGATGCCTATGGGGGGTGGTGGTGGTTGGTGTTTGTTAAAGGTGTTAGTGGAAGTTATAGTGATGGTGATCGTTATTGTGGATTTGAAGTGAAGGTAGATTTGAGTTGAGGTAGTAGTGGTGGTGCATTGGAGTGATAGTGGTGATGAGTGGTCATGGATTGTGGTGGTGGTCTTTGGTGTAT